TCAACAGCTTCCTTAGCTGATGTCTCTTGAAATCGAGGCCAGGTCCACAGTGCCAATTCCACCCTCTCTACAATCTCTCTGCAGCCAAACCGGCTCGCCATCCTGGCGTTTCCTGGCTTGGTTTCACCGCTCCTTCCAAATGCCTGCCACTCGACTTTGCGTCTGTGTTTTCTGTCTGGGGTCCTGCACGCGTGTGGTTCTGAAGGGAATCACCCATTCCTTGACGTCAGTTCACCCCACAGCCTCTGTGATGCCTTCCCTCATCTTCCCACCTCTGCACACCCACAGCACGCCAGTGACATCCTATTATGATGTGACATTGGGATGAGGTTATCTGCCCTGGTTTCTCCCAGTCCCATTAGACTAGATGCCTACAGAAGGCAGGATCTTGGAAAAATATTAATGTATTCTATTTCTTTTAATTTTTTGTGACAGAGACTAGCTCTGTCCCCCAAACTGGAGTGCAGTGGTGAGATCATAGCTCACTGCAGCCTCCATCTCTTGGGCTCAAGTGATCCTCCCACCTCAGCCTCCTCATTAGCTCAGACTATAGGGCTGTGCCATCACACCTGGACAATTATTTACATACTTATTAAATTTTATTTCTATTTTTAATGTTTGAGATGGAACCTCGCTCTGTCAACCAGGCTGGCATGCAATGGCATCAACTCGGCTCACTGCAACCTCTGCCTCCCGGGTTCAAGCGATTCTCCTGCCTCAGCTTTCTGAGTAGCTGGGACTACAGGCCCATGCCACCAGGCCCGGCTAATGTTTTGTCTTTTTAGTAGAGACGGCGTTTCGCTGTGTTAACCAGGATGGTCTCAATCGCCTGACCTGGTGATCCACCCGCCTCGGACTCCCAAATTGCTGGGATTACAGGCGTGAGCCACTGTGCCCATCCTATTTATTTATTTATTTTGAGACCGAGTCTCACTGTCTCCCAGGCTAGAATGCAGCGGACCTATCTCAGCTCACTACAACCTCCCCCTCCTGGGTTTATGTAATTCTTGTGCCTCAGCCTCTAGCGTAGCTAGGACAAAGGTGTGCGCCACCACATCAGGGGATTTTTGTATTTTTAGTAGAGATGGGGTTTCACCATGTTCAACAGGTTNCCCTCTACTCTCACCTCTTTGGGACAGTTCTCTGCCTGGCACACACAAGACCCTCCTGACGCCAGCCAACCTAGACACACTCCCTGCAAAGTCCCATCGGAGCTCAGCATCCTGGGAGCATCACCGACATCCCTTCCTCCAGCTTCTCAGATTTGCATCTGACCTTCTAATACCCCTCCACCTCACTATTTCCCAGTGAGCACAGTCATCCCAACGTCGAGGTCCCTTCTCTGATGTGCAACCCCTCCCCTGCCCCCATTCCCCCATCTGCATGAGCTTCCTCTTCCAAGATGTGACCCCTCCCTCTCTGTGTTCCTTTCTCTCCATCAGTATCTCCTAGCGATGGTCATAGCGTATTTTAGCCGCGCCGGCCTCTTCTCCTGGCAGTACCAACGCATTCATTTCTTCCTGGCTCTGTGAGTGCTTTGCTTCGGCCTATCCGTCAAAATGCCCACCACTCGACTTTGCGTCTGTGTTTTCTGTCCGGGGTCCTGCACGCGTGTGTTTCTGAAGGGAAGCACCAATTCCTTGACATCAGCTCACCCCACAGCCTCTGTGATACCTGCCCTCATCTTCCCACCTCTGCATGCCCAAAACTTGCCAGTGACATCCTATAATAATGTAACATTTGGATGACGTTATCTTCCCTGGTTTCTCCCAGTCCCATTAGACTAGATGCCTACAGAAGGCAGGATCGTGGAAAAATATCAATGTATTCTATTTTTTTTTAATTTTTTTGTGACAGAGACTCGCTCTGTTCCCCAAGCTAGAGTGCAGTGGAGAGATCATAGCTCACTGCAGCCTCCATCTCTTGGACTCAAGTGATCCTCCCACCTCAGCCTCCTCATTAGCTCAGACTATAGGGCTGTGCCATCACACCTGGACAATTACTTACATACTTATTAAATTTTATTTATATTTTTAATGTTTTTTTGAGATGGAGCCTCGCTCTGTCAACCAGGCTGGAGTGCAATGGCATCAACTCAGCTCACTGCAACCTCTCCCTCCCGGGTTCAAGCGATTCTCCTGCCTCAGCTTTCTGAGTAGCTGGGACTACATGCCCATGCCACCAGGCCCGGCTACATTTTGTATTTTTAGTAGAGTCGGTGTTTCACCGTGTTAACCAGGATGGTCTCAATCGCCTGACCTGGTGATCCACCCGCCTCAGCCTCCCAAATTGCTGGGATTACAAGGGTGAGCCACTGTGCCCATTCTATTTATTTATTTATTGAGACAGGGTCTTGCTCTGTCTCCCAGGCTAGAATGCAGCGGACCTATCTCAGCTCACTACAACCTCCGCCTCCTGGGTTCACATAATTCTTGTGCCGCATCCTCCAGAGTAGCTAGGACCAAGGTGTGCGCTACCACGCCAGGGGATTTTCGTATTCTTAGTAGAGATGGGGTTTCGCCATGTTCAACAGGTTGGTCTCAAACTCCTGGCCTCAAGTCATCCACCCGCTTCAGCCTCCCAAAGTGTTGGGATTGCAGGTGCGAGCCACAGCGCACGGCCGGAAGTTCTTTATTTTTAGTAGAGACAAGGGTCTTCCTATGTTGTCCAGGCTTGTCTCGAACTCCTGGCCTCAAGCAATCCTCCTGTGTCGGCCTCCCAAAGTGCTGGGATTCCAGGCCTGAGCCACCACTCTCGGCCACCAGTTGGCTTTTTGTCTCCATCCTGAAGGTGTGAGGGGGTGCCCTTCAGCAGGCCTCTGTCCAGCAGGGCCCTCCTGAGGAAGGCATGGCTCTCTGCAGGGTGGGTGCCAGTCCTGAGCTGAGGACGGTCTCCCGCCCTCCTCTCTGGGAAGCTGACCTCAGCCGGAGGTCTCTCCTGGTGGTGCCCCTGAGCAGCAGCCTGATTTCTGCCCCCAGCTACCTGGCCAATGACATGGAGGAGGACGACGAGGGCTCCAAACAAGCCATCTTC